GGCCTGGGGCAGCCACCCCCCAGCATCCCAGGGAGCTGGCTGAGGGCTCTGGGACAGGGTTTGGGGCTTAGGGTGCAGCGAGCAGCTTCCAGGAGGGCATGTGGGTGCTGGCTGGGGCGTGGAGCCAGGGGTGGGGGTGTTGGGGGGGCTGAAGGGGAAGGGAGTTTGGAGGCAGGAGAAGGTGCAGGCACTGGGTGGAGTGGGGCGCACACGGGGATGTGGGGCTACCCCCCTCCGGCAATGGCTCCTGGAACGGTGCAGGAGGCTCCAGGGGGCTGCTGCCCCCGGCCTCCCTGCTGCCATGTGCCCTCCCCACACGTGTCCTCCAGCCCGGATGTAAAATGTCCGGGGGCGGGGAGGCAGAGGCACCGGTAGCGCAGCAGGGTAAAGCAGCTTCCCGCTGCTCACTCACCCCGGCTGCTGGCCAGTGCGTCCCTGCGCCGGAGCTGCGGGAGCAGGCGGGGTCTCTGTGCTGCTCCGGGGCGGCAGGTGGGGCCGGAGGACACGGGGGCACGGAGCCGAGGGGGCGAGTTTCCTGGAGCCCAGCCCCAGGCCAGGAATATTCCTGGTGTGGGGGCTCCACGGGCCCCTAGAACTTGCCTCCAATGCCCACAGCTTGGGGAACCCCTGGGGATCTCTGGCTTCAGCTGTTGCCTCTGAGCCTCTTGGCCGTCAAGCAGCAAAGTTTTCCTTGTGACTTTGTTTAATTTCCTGCATTCGGCTTCCGAGATCGCAGGATAAACCTCCTGGCCCGTTGCGTTTCCAAGGGCCCCAGATCAATTGGCCCCTGAGATGGGAACCCAAGGACACGTCCTGTAGCCACCCCGGAGTAAAGCCGTATCAACGCTGGACAAGACAGAGGCGAGCTGTTTGCAGCCTGGACTGAGCAGATGCACACGCACCAGTGCACTGCCCCTGAAATTCCGTCCACAACCGACTTGTAGCGACCAGTCCTTTCAGGGCAGACCCAGGAGATAACCCCTGGGAATCTCTGGCATCAGTTAGTGCCTCTGACCCTGCCCGAGGTCAAGCAGCAAAGAGATGGAAGATTTTCCCGTGACTTTGTTTAATTTCCTTCATTCGGCTTCCCAGACCCCAGGATGAACCTCCTGGCCCGTTGCGTTTCCAAGGGGTGCCAGGGGCGTTCGTGAACCCCTCGCATTGCAGTCACCTCTGGGGGCCGCTCTGATCTGGACAGACCTTCTGGATGGGCGGAGGGGAGGGCTCCCAAGTTCCGAGCGAACGTTTTCTAAGTTACAAAGCGGAACTTCCATATTTTATTATAAACCGACACTGTGAGCGACATTGGAGCAATTTCCAAGCCCTCCGTCGAGTGCAAACGCTAAGTGCCTTCCTCCGGGACGTGTCCCCGTGTGGAGGGAAGCTGCCCCAGCGGTGACCTGCTCCGGCCTCCGGCTCTGAGTGTGTTAGGCCTTAGCTTTGCTTGTCGTCTTAGCAGCTGCGGGCCCGTGGTGTGCCGGTGTGACGGAGCGTCCCTGTGGTAGAGGAAGGGACAGCGAGGGCAGGTCTGGAGGTGGAAGCCAGACAAATTCCGAGCAGACAGATGGCTGCACTGTTACCCGCGAAGGCCAGAGAAAATGACCAGGCATTAGTGAATTTGGCTGGAGGCCCGAATGTGAGGCAGGTGGAAATCAATATCTGGATGACTGGAAAAAGGCAAATGTAGGGCCCATCTTTAAAAAAGGGAAGAAGGATCCAGGGAATTACAGACCTGTCAGCCTCACCTCAGTCCCTGGAAAAATCATGGAGGGGATCCTCAAGGAATCCATTTTGAAGCACTTGGAAGAGGGGGAAGTGATCAGGAATAGTCAACATGGATTCACCAAGGGCAAGTCGTGCCTGACCGATCTGATTAGCTTCTGTGATGAGGTAACTGGCTCCGTGGACATGGGGAAGTCAGTGGATGTGATACACCTTGACTCTAGCAAAGCTTTTGATACAGTCACCCACAATATTCTTGCCAGCACGTTAAGGGAATGTGGATTGGATAAATGGACGGTAAGATGGATAGAAAGCTGGCTAGAGTGTCAGGCCCAACGGGGAGTGATCAACGGCTCGATGTCAGGATGGCGGTCGGTTTCTAGGGGAGTGCCCCAAGGAGCTGCTCTTGGACAGGTTTTGTTCAACATCTTTATCCCCCCCGCTCCCTGCCTGCCGCCGCCCCTCGCCATGGCCGAGGCCAACTGGACGTCCGTCTCCGAGTTCGTGCTCCTGGGCCTGTCCGAACGCCAGGACCTGCAGCCGCTGATCTTCGCGGGGTTGCTGGCCACCTATCTGGTGAACCTAATCGGCAACTCCGTGCTGCTGCTGGCGGTATGGGCTGACCCCCAGCTCCACAGCCCCATGTATTTCCTCCTCAGCCAGCTGGCCGTGGTGGACGTGAGCTTTGCCTCCATCACCCAGCCCCAGGCCCTGGTGCATGCCCTGACCCATCATCGGACTGTCCCCTTCACCAGCTGCATGGCCCAGCTCTTCCTCTTCCTGGCCATGTGCAACATGGAGGGCTACCTGCTGGCTGCCATGGCCTACGACCGCTACGTGGCCGTCTGCGACCCACTGCGCTACTCTGCCGTTGTGACGCGGTCCCTGTGCCTCAAGATGACGGCTGCTTCATTGGCCGTGGTGATCCCGCACTCCCTTCTGCACACTCTCATGGCCACTCAGCTGAGATTCTGCAGCAACCGCCCGCAGCATTTCTTCTGCAACCTGCAAATCCTGCTGCGCCTCTCCTGTACCTGGCCCTATGTCCACGAGCTGGTGCTCGGCACCGAGGGCGTCTTCGTGGTGCTGGCCCCTTTCGCCTTCATCCTGACCTCCTACATCCGCATCGGGATGGCCGTGGCCCGCCTGCGCTCTGCCCAAGCCCTGCGCAAGGCCCTCTCCACCTGCAGCTCCCACCTGGCCGTGGTGACACTCTTCTACAGCACCGTGGTCTTGCCCTATGTAAACCGAGACTCCAGAAACGCCCCGGAGCGTGACCGGGTGGCGGCCATCTTCTACACAGCTGTGGCACCCGCCCTGAACCCCCTCATCTACAGCCTGAGGAACAAGGACGTGGCCGCGGCCCTGAGGAGGGTGAGGAGGAAGTTCCTGGCTCAGGGCAAATGAGACCAGCCCACGGCTCCATCGCAGCACTGGGCATGGACTTTCCACCCAAGATGTGTCTGGGAAACCTTCCCTCTAAGGTCCTCCAGGACACCTGTGATCCTTTCTCCTCAGACATGAGACTCGTGGAACTAACCCTTATGCACACACACAAATACAAAAACACTAGTAGAATCATAGAATACTAGGATTGGAAGAGACCTCGGGAGGTCATTGAGTCCAGTCCCCTGTCTCACAGCAGGACCCAGCACTGTCTAGACCATCCCTGATAGACACTTACCTAACCTGCTCTTAACTGTCTCCAGAGATGGGGATTCCACAACCTCCCTGGGCAATTTATTCCCGTGTTTAACCATCCTGACAGGAACTTTTTCCTAACGTCCAACCTCAACCTCCCTTGCTGCAGTTTAAGCCCATTGCTTCTTGTTCTATCCTCAGAGGCCAGGAAGAACAAATTTTCTCCCTCCTCCTTGTGACACCCTTTTAGATACCTGAAAACCGCTCTCATGTCCCCTCTCAGTCTTCTCCTTTCCAAACTACACAAGCCCAATTCTTTCAGTCTTCCCTCCTAGCTCATGTTCTCTGGACCATCCATCAGTCTCGTTGCTCTTCTCTGGACCCTCTCCAATTTCTCCACATCTTTCTTGAAATGCGGTGCCCAGAACTGGACACAGAACACCAACGGAGGCCTGAGCAGAGCGGAAGAAGGACTCCTCGTGTCTTGCTCACAACACAACTGTTAATGCCTCCCAGAATCAGGTTTGCTTTTTTTGCAACAGCATCGCACTGTTGGCTCACATGTAGCTTGTGGTCCGCTCTGACCCCATTCCACGAGAAGTAACAACTAATTCGAGTAAGGGGTTTACTTTGAACTCCCGTTTCACTGCCGTGTGTAGACACAGACAGTTATTCCGGGCTAGTCAGTTTCCAAAATGGCGAAAGTTCAGATTTGCTGAGCTTGCTTTCCACAGCCACTCGTCTGTGTAAGGAGGGGCAGGGGCTGGCCTGGGGGGAGCTGGAGTGTCTAAGGGGTGGCGTGTGTGACATGTTGGCGTAAGCAGAAGGGCGCTTCGTGGCTGGCTGGGCCTTAGAGCAGAGGACTCCGGTCCGGGGCGGGAAGGAGCCCCAGTTCTAAGCAGTTAGCCCCGGTCTGACACTCCCAGCGGAGCCCACAGACCCCTCCCGCACTGCACTCCCCCACTCAGGGTACGTCTACACTACAACGTTAATTCAAACTAACTTAGTTCGAATTAGTTAATTCGAACTAAGCTAATTCGAACTAACGGATCCAGACTAAAAAACTAGTTCGAATTAGCATTTTGCTAATTCAAACTAGCATGTCCACATTAAGTGGACCCTGAACCGGGCTTAAGGATGGCCGGAAGCAGTGCCGGCAGGGCATCAGAGGAGGACTTAGAGCGTGGAGATGCTGTCTCAGGCTAGCCGAGGGCTGTGCTTAAAGGGTCCCGACCCCCACCCCGGACAGACAGTTCTAAGGAGTGCCCCGCTTGCAAAGCAGTCCTGGCCTGGAGTGCCCTGAGTGCCCACACTGGGCACATCAGACCACTCGGCCATCAGACCGGCTGCACTTGCCGAAGGCTGCCATCTGGGGAGAGGGGGCAATTGGGGGGCTGCAGGAGAGCTTCCACCCCCA